GGCGCCGGCGGAGCACGTGACCACGCCGCGCGGGGCCGGGCGCGCAGTGCCGCGCGGTGGCGGCGGCGGGGAGAGCAATGGAGGCCGCGGCCGCCTGAGGGGCGGGTGCGCTGCTGGTGCTGCTGCGGAGGCTGCCCGTGCTGCGGGGCAGCCGCTGGCTGGGTCGCGTCCGCCGCCCGCGCGGAACCGCCGGTCGCCGTCCAATCGCTCTGCCAGCCACGGAGCCAGGCGGGGACTCAGGTGAGCGCCCTGTCGGCCCGCGGCCAGAGCCAGACAATGGGGGCAGCGGGCGGGCTTCTCCCCCTGCACTCGCGACCCCCCGGGCTGCACCCCCGCGACGCCCCGAGATTCCCGACCTTGCCCTTGCCCTGGGGGCGTGGGCTCGGTGTGGCCGGCCGGTGGAATTTGGGGCGGTGTCCCCGCGTGTACGATGCGGACCCTCCCCGAGGAACCGGCGCAGGGTGTGCGCCGCTTTGGATCTCACGCGAGGGAACCTGCGGACGGGCTGCGCCCCGGGAACTTGCCGAGAGCGTGGGACCTTCTGATTCCCTCTCTCCTTCCCGCGCCGCGGCATCCTATCCCGGGGTCCCGGGGTCCCAGGGTCGGGTCCCAGCTGCGAAGGGGGTACAGCGAGACCTCGCCGTCTGCGATCTCGGACGCTGACCGTGCTCAGCCCTCTCCCCACGCCGGAGCTGCATTGCTTTGTTTAACCTCTGCCAAGCCATTTCGCACAAACTCTTGTTGCCCCAATTCTGATGAGCCACCAGTTTGATGGCTGAGGCAAGACAAAGGTTCTCCCTGTTTACCAAGGGCTGGAGCCGGGAGACTGCACAGTGCCAGTGGTGTAAAATGTGTTTTCCTTATCTTCTTCCAGGCGTTCTTGAGATGGTTTTCCTGGTCCTGTAACCGTCATTTCTTGCAGAGCTCTGTAGTGGTGAGATTGGACCTCCTAACCCTACGGATACGGTAGGTGGGGTATGGGTTTTATTCATGGTTATCAGTAAACAGAAAGGCAAACGTTTACATTTTATGTTTGTTGTTCTCAGAAAAGAGGCATCGTAATATTGTCTGAATTCTGGATTTTCAGAGAGAATGTGTATATAAAGACACATTGGCTCAGGTGGAGGGGGGTGGGGGGGAACCTAGTAACTAGGACCATGTGTTGTGAAATTTTAATATGGTTTTACGAATAATGGCCCAGAAACTGATCTGGTGTAGGTGAGGGAGTGTGAGTATGTTGGGGGTGGTGGTGATGAAGAGGGAGTGGTTAGAATACAAAGAATAAGGCAATTTTAGTAAACGGGTCTTAGTAAATACTGTGTAGCAAATTTCAGTTCATTAAGTTGTCAGTAAATTGGTGTTCACCTGTAAAAATTACCTATCCTAGTTGTTAAATTGTGTATAAAATGGCTAACAATTATTTGGTATTGTATGTGACTTTGAAATCTAAATACAACAATTTTGAGTAATTTTAAAATGTCAACAAAGGAAACACACCTACACTATTGCTTCCTTTATTCTATGAGGAAACTGAATCCTGGTTCAATATATTCAACAGAAAATTGTAGAAGAAATTTCAAAGCCACAGTTTTTAAAGATACATTTTGAAAAATGCATCTTCTGTAGGTGATATGTTTGCACTATAGATTACTTCAACTCTGAAATGTGAAGGAAAGAAAAATCATGCTACTAGATTGCCCCTTTCCCGTATTAAAATGTATTTTCTTCAAAAGCTTATTTTTATGGTCACTTCTGACATCGAGAAACTTTCACTCTAAAGACCGTACTTAGCACTGAATTTGGAGTCAGTAAATACTTAGGCAGTTGGTGCAGGAAACAAAAGCTACCACATAATTCTTTCTAAACTATCAAGCACTATAATAACTATGAGCCATTATTATTGCTAGATGAAGAAATTGTATTTTACAAAAATTAATTGAAATTAATGTGAAATTCTCCAGTGCAAGGGACGGTTTATAGTCTTTGTTTGTAGTCCACATTTCGAATTTGGCATAGAGTAGGTGTTCAATAAATAGTTATGGAAAGAGGGGTGCCTGTGTGGCTCAGTTGGTTAAACAGCCAGCTCTTGGTTTCAGCTCAGGTCATGATCTCACAGTTCGTGGGTTCGAGCCGCAGGTTGGGCTCCACGCTGAAGATGTGGAACCTGCTTGGGATTCTCTCTCTCCCTCTCTCTGTGCCCATTCCCTGCTCGTGCTGTCTCTGTCTCTCAATAAATAAACTTAAATAGTTATGGAAAGAATGAATCGATGAAAACTAAAATACAAATGGATAAAATATGTATACAGATTGAATTAGTTCTTTCAGTTTAATGAACAGTTACTGAAGGCTTGCTATGTGTCAAAACTGTGCAGAATGTTTCCACATACAGTTTATAAAAGCCTGGTGACCTTCCTTTTTTGATCATATTTGATGTATGTTTCCATGAAGAATGAGGCCCCTTGGGTGGTATCAGTGATCATCTCAGATAACTGAGTAGCACAATAGAGTATTTCACTTGTTGTATGTACATATACTTTCTCACAGTGGCCTATGGGGAGGCAGGCCAGATATTATCATTCCGTTTTGTAGGTGAGGAAATCCAGACACAGCGAGATTAAATGACTTGCCAACTCCTTGCCACTGAAGCAGCAATGCCAGGGACAGAAGCTGGATCTCATGCCTAGTGTTTTCACCTCTGAGTCACACTGCCTTTTTCAGGATATACTGTACTCCAGAAAATCACTATCAAATTAGGCTTCATGAAAAAATCTACTTTTTGAATAACTTTTATATTAGGAAAACCTATGTTTTACAACCTAGTACTTACTGAAGGTTCTAGAGTCAGGTGACTAAATTTGAACCCTCGATTTACCAGTTAATAGCACTGCATCTTTGGCAAGTGACTTAATGTCTCTAAGTCTCAGTTTCCTCATCTGTAGAATGGTGGAAGTAATAGTACCTACCTTATTGGGTTTTTGGAAGGATCGCATGAAATCATGTATGTGTTTAGCACAAGGTCTAGAACACACGAAGCATTCAGCGTCAACTAATTATTTTTATTTTCATTATAAAGCAGTGGATTTTAATGTTTTTTGTACAGTAAGAGGTGAATTTTATATTGCCATCTAGTATACAAACACATTACAAGTATGTTTAAAGGACGTCATGAATCAATGCTTAGACTTCTGATGTGCAATGCATTCTTATATTTTTATTCTATCTTATTTAAAGATGCTAGTTAAGAACCACTAAATGATTTCAGATTCCATTAATGGGCTAGGACCTGCAGTTTGAAAAGCACTAACGTAATGGATGATCAGGTTAAATGAAAGAAAAATCTGCTAATGAATCTTTGTATTTTTCCTTTTAATAATTTACATCAGTTGGAATTTGAATATTAAATTACACTGAAAATAGATTCTTAAACATTTCTTAGTAATTGCATTTATTTATTGAGTATTTATTATGATTTAGGTACTGTGGTAAGCAGTCTATTTATATATGTTATCTAATTTAGTGCTCAGAGCAGCCTGTAATTTGGCCTTGTGTTTCCATTTGATAATTGAGATTAAGACTCAGAGAGGTTTTATTAACTTGCCCAAGGTCATAAGGTTAGTAGAGATGAAGCAAGAATTCACACTGAGTTCTGTTTGACCCCAAAGTTCTCTGCTGCCTTGCCCCTCACACTCTGTTCTGATATGTCACAATGGTTTCTGTAGATACATCATTCCTTTTATGTAAATTTGAATGTCAGTATCGAGAATTTACCCCTTGTGGTACATCTTTTGTGGTTTCCTTTGAAAGGACCCACTTGAAGAAAATTTTCAACTTAAGTAAGAAAACATTGGATAGACTAGTAATTCATTTTGACTTTGTCTGCTCTTTGATGTAAATATTTGGGAATAGCTTCTCAGGTTTTTACGATAAAGTCAATTAATTGGTCAGTTTTATTGAGCACCCAAAGGTTTAATATGTCTTCAAAAGAGACATGAAATAGCTGTGTAACTATAAAAAGACTTCATTACGAATGAATGCCAGCTTTTGTTAAGGCACAGAATGAAGACAAGAGCTGCAAGAGTATTTTATAGTATATTGATTTGTCTCAAAATCACTGGGCAGTTAAAGTATTTATTTTGTAAAGTACTTGAAAGGAAGCACAACTAAATGCCCTATTAATTTTTTTTTATTTTAGTTCTTTGCAAGTGCTTCTTAATTTTTAGCAGTATTTTATTTTATTTCTGGAAATTTCCTCTTTTAAAAATATTGTCAGAAAGAAAGAATGCCATAAGGGAATATGTTTTATAAGTAATACTGAGAATTTACGAATAGATGATTTTAAATGACAATAGAAAAGCAGATTTCACTATTTCTTTCACATTTACATCTTACAGATTCAGACTCTTGTAGGGTCTGGTTTGCCTACTGCTGTTGACATGTGGGAGTGTCTTTTATAAATAAGATGACTACCAGGTACTTAAAGGTATATAAAATTATGTTCCTTTTGCGTTTTAGTGTCCGTGTACATGGAGCTTTAAACTTTTAACTGTATGTTTAAATAGTTTATTTGTTGAATTGATGTTAGTCTATTCAGATCTGTTAATTTTAAAATCAGAGTTTGTGTAGATCATGTTGATATATTAGACAAAGAACAGCAGTTTCATGGTTTATTTATGTGGTTTGAAAATCCATACATTTCTGTTCCTCAGTCTTCATTTTCTGTTAAGATGAGATAAAAGTGAATATATTATTTTATTTATTGTTCAGTATCAGATTTCATCCTTAGGTTAGCCCTCAAGAAATGGTTTTTCCCCTAATGAAATGTGTCCATATTTAGTAAGCTTATGTCTTATGTTTAATTTATTAAGTTATTCCTATTGTCTAACACTTGACCCTTCAGTGAATTGGTATAGTTTCTGTGAGCATCAAGAAACATTCCAGCTATTGAATGGTTGTTGTAATTCGATACTAAACTTGGTTACCATTATATTTTGCACTGTTCTATGTTTTTGTTTTTGTTTTTGTTTTTTAAGTATAATTGACATACGATGTTATTAGTTTTAGGTGTACAACATTTTGATAGTACTATTATTCTTGATGTGAAAATCCTTGGCGATAAGAAGAGCAAAATCAACTTAGATGTTTATTTATACTAGTAGCTTTGAGGCAGATACATATGCATATATTAGATTTACATATATGTGTGATTTCCACAGATGTATGAGAAGTGCAGGATTATAGACTCTTAATCCATAAATTAAAAAAATTCTGAAGTAACTTTGTGGAAATAAATGGAGAAAAAACCTTTAAGAGATGTTGAATGTCTTCTGGAGACATGTTATCAGAAACATTTAAGAAGCCAAATAGCCCAACCATATGTCATAGCTTTTATATTCTAGTAAGTTTGCATGTGGAAAGGTGATTCCATTTGAAATGTGACAATGAATATTTTCAGTCAGATTTAAAAATCTTCACCGGCTCTTCCAGATGTTTGTAGAATTTTTCAAAAGCCTACTATGAAGCTTAAGTGGAAATTTCGATAAACTTGCCTCTGAAACTGGTACTGTGTTAAATATTAAATGTTTAAGGAAAAGATACAGAAACAGCATCCCTGAAACACTTCAGGGAAATATTTAAATCAGAAGTAAGTACTGAGCTCGTTAGAGACAGGTTGTTAGAATTTAAGAGCAAGAAGCAGCTGCTAAGAGTTATTATTCTCAATAACAAGAAAGGAAGGACAATTTACTAAAAAGGTGTTGGGCTTTTACCAGGGAAGGTAAGAACAATCCACCCAGAAGTCCACTGGCCTCACCCCACTCACCTGGTGAGGGATTGGCTGGCACTAAGAGGGAAAGGGGAGCAGGCAAGGAGGGGATGCAATAGAGAAATTTGGTTATTATTTAAATCTGAGATAAGTTGGATTCAATAAATAATCTGTGAAAATTCTTGTATATAGTTGTTAACCCATG